GGTATCCCGAACCCTGGCATGCCCAATCCCGGTATTCCAAATCGCGGTATGCCTAATCCTGGCATCGAGACTCCTGGCATGCCCAATCCTGGTATCCCGAACCCTGGCATGCCCAACCCTGGCATCCCTCTACAACCTGCCTCCTCTGATGTTCAACCAGCTGTCGTCGCACCAGCCAACACAACGACTGCGCCTGGTCCCATAATGATCAAGGGCGCCAAGAGCTGCCATCAGTTGCTGCTGGCCAGCTCCGCTCCAGCCAAACCGCTACCCGTCCAGGAGAACTGCGACCAGCTGTGCACCAAGTTTGAGCTGATGCCCATCTGCGCCTACAACGGCATCTGCATTCACGAGTTTCCCAATCAGTGTGTTATGGACACCTTCAACTGCAAGCACCGTGACCTGGAGTTCCGCGCCGTGGATGAGGATATTTGCATGATGGACTTGTGCGCTCGTCGCTGCAAAGAGCAGGATCTCAAGATGTAGATCTGCGCAAATGCTCTTCAGTCATATAATAATACATTTTACATAATAAATTGACTATTATGATTAAATAAAATTGCTAATTTTTCAGTAATAAAAATAAAGATTAAGAAACATTAAAAGTATTATGAATTTTTATTTCTATTAAGAAAAATTTAAATTATTATGAAATTTTATTTCTTAATGAAAGATTTTATATTCAGACAAATATTGCAATTTTCCTAATATTCTTACAGGATTTTAAAGTAACGATAAGGCTGTACTTATAAAATATCAGAATTAAATAATTCTTACTCTTCTTTATCTATTAAAGTCAGTTTAGTATTTAACATTTCTTAACTAGACTTGAATTTATATTTATTTGATCAAAAATTGATTTTTTATATATTATGAAGTAAATATTAAGCTCATGATTTAAGTGAATGTCAAATAAAAATATGCTTTCTTAAGAAGATAGTCTTTGCTCTTAATAATAAGTTTTATTTTGTGGTTTAATAATTATTTTTATGAATTGCTCACATACGCCGATCACTATCAAGGGCCTAATTAGTCTCACAATATCACATTCGCCTTTTCCCAATAGACATTATTCATATAGGAGAAGGCTAACGTACTTCTATTAACTATTTCATTAACTTGGCTATTCGAAATTCAAATAGAAATCATGTGAAGAAAAAATTAGTAATATATTAAACACGAAATTAAGGATTTAAAAAAATAAATAAATGTATTAATTAAATGAAATAGTAATAAAACCAGATATATTATATTTAAGGTAATTTATTGTAAAAATGGATCTTTAGTTTTTAATTAAAAATACAGAAGAATAAATTCGGAATTCAAATGCTTTGCACATCTTCAACCAACTTCCTCATAGCTCAGTCCCACGGTTCACTGCGTCAGCTGCAGTTCCTTGCGCTCCGCCTTGCTGCAGAGCGGTTGGTAGCCCCGGGTGCAGCGATAGTTCTCGACGACGTTGAAGCGCTTCTGGGGATTGCGACAGTTGTAGGCAGCCATGGTGCAGCGGCTGGTGAACAGCTGCAGGCATTGGCCATTGTGGGCGCAGACCTCGACGTCCTGATCGGTGCAGGCGAAGTCACACTTGTCGGGCACGCCCGGGCTCAGCTCGTCCAGCCAGACCGTCTCTCCATGCTGATTGACGGCCGGCAGATGGCTGCGCTTGACGGGCAGCACACTAGCACTCGCAGCGGCGAAGGCCAAGCAAACTGCAAGAGACGAAAAAATGCAGTTACAGTTTGAGAGCAGCTCACACAGTGCATGTCAAACTTACACAGGCAGAGCAGCGAAGTGTTCATGGTTGTAGAGACTATTTGGACTTGGTTGTTGTTGTTGTTGGCAAAGTTGATGTTTGTGGACCTTGCTGTGTGGGCAGCAACTGTTCAACTGTTGTCTCTGTGCCCCGACTCGCATGTTTTTATAACCAAAATGCTGTCAATGTAAATTTTCGGGCTGCGGCTGCGACTGCTCTCGTTCGCTCATAATCCTTTATTTTAACACCTGACAAAAATATGCAAAACTGAAAAATCATCATGATTATCTCTGGGCCTGCCAGCTTTTGTTTGTTTGTTTGTTTTCTTCTTCGTTTTTTGTTCGCCCTGCCTGCCAAAAATAAAACCTTTTGTTTCAAAATAAAACACATTTTGCAGCATTGGCAAGTCCCCGTGGGAAATTTGCATTTGCTTCTTTTGTTGACGTCAAATAATAGCATTTGGTTTATTTGCAGCACAGTTAATCAAAATGAAATTGAATTGAAATTTATATACAGTTAGAGAGAACTTTCCACTGCAGTAAATGCTGCTGCTCTGCTGCCTATCTTTGGGCTGACAGCGGAAATAGATTTTATCCGAAAATTATAATTAAGCTCCTAAATGTATACCCAATTATTTTTTGATATTCATTGTGTGTGCAGCGCTTCAAAGTGTGGTGAATGAACTGAGTTTGTGATTGCATAACTCATTTTCTGTAGATGATATCTATATCTATGTAGAACTTGTTTTGTAGGAAAGTATATTGAAGATCTACATAAATATTTAAATATCTAGAGTTGGTTTCATAAGAAATTAATTTAATTAATATATAGTGTATTTATAGATTGTAAGTCTTATCGGGGAAAAATATATATCTCTAACTATGTAGAATGGGGGAATAGTTAATAGAATATATATGTGTATGAAACCATATATAAAAAAAAATTAAATAAAATAGACTTTCGTTTTTCTACTTAGACAAAGAACTAACTATCTTGTATCTATACAGAAGAATGATGTCTGCTATCTATAGAGAATTAGTTATATATAATATTTTAATTTAACCAATTCTTTCTCCTATCTATATTATTCTTTCTTCTAACTGCCACGCCCCAATTGGATATAAATATGAAACATGTTAAAATACCATTAATAATATTACCTATATGAGGAAGCGATTAATTCATAATCAGACATATTATTGAGAATATTTGCCCAGCCAGCAGCAGCTGATCGTTCAGGTAGAACGAAACCCGTTCCCTGCGACTGCTACCAAGTACAGGCATTTACAATACGTACTCGTATTATCATAAAAAGTGCATTAACAAAACAACAACAAACATTTTAATTCTTATGACAAATCTTTGTCGATGCAAAAATAACTGATATTTGATATTTGAATTCTTTGAGGATCATATAAAACCGGGCTGCTTCCAGCGAAAGTCAAACAGAACGACATCGAGCGTTGTGCAGTTGAGTTGTAGAGAGTGTGGAACGCAAGTGGATTGTATACTAAAGACGAGTCTGATTTGTGGATTATAAGAGATAAAATGCGCGCTCTGTTGATATTTGGTGAGTACTGATCGAGAAGCTTATAGAGATGGTTTTATCAAATCCCACTTCAACTGCAGCTCTGCTTGCGCTGACTCAGGCCGCGCAGCTGGATAAGCAGGAGCCGAATGAGCTGCCCGCGCACGTGCAAACGCTGATAACGAATCACATCAATCAAGTGCTGGCGCAGACGCCGCATGGCCAGATTGCCACTCTGACGGGCCACGTGCCGCAGGCTGGGGCAGCAGCCAAAAAGGGCAATGCTGTGGCCGTGCCCCATTTGGACTTGCTGCCGCCGCACGCGGAGCCAACGAAGCTGCCGCAGGTGATAAATCATCGGGCCACGGCCACATGGCAGCACGCTGCTGGCTACAACAAAGTGGTGATGCCGCCAGTGGCTGAAATCGTGGTCTCAGTGCCCGGCCAAGCGCCGCTGGACATTGGCGACAAGGTCAGCAAGGTGCAGCAAAAAGTCGCCTATGTGATGCAACAGGCGCAGACGCACATACCCAATGCCATCAATCAGGCGATCAAAGAGCGCCAAAAGCTCGAGGCGCAAAAGCACAAACAAGACAGCACCACCAGCAGCAGCACCAGCAGCAGCAGCACCACAACCACCAGCACCACCACCAACAAGCCAGCCCACCATGCTGCTCGCCTGCTGTCCGATGTCGAGGAAGTGCCCAAGCTGCTCGACCATCAGCTGGAGCTGAAGAAGCTGGGCAAATGCAACTACCAGTGCCCAGAGAAATCCCTGCCCGTCTGCGCCTCCAATGGCAACTGTGTGGTCGAGTTTGCAGGACAATGCGAGCTTAGTGAATGGAACTGCTTCAATACCAAGAATGGTAAGTAAAGGTTGACGCTCTTATAATCGTCGGTATGTCTAAAAATCGAATTTCTATTCTCTTCTAGTATTCACTCAAGTGCATGATGATGAGTGCAATAAGACCATCAAGTGTTACGATCGTGATAATGCTTAAGCAGAGCAATGGACTGGATAAACTAAAGTAGAAGAGAGAGAAAGAGAGAGAGAGAGAGACAGAGAGAGATGCTGGAAGCAGTCTGATAGAGAGAAACGAACGAGTCAAAATGAAATATGATAATAATATATATAGATAAAAAATAAATACAGAGAGAAGGAACGATAGAGCTAGAGAGAGAGAGAGAAGGATAAGCACACTGAGAAAGAGAAAGTGAAAGATTGAGGCAGAGTAAGAAGTATTAACTAGAGAGTGAGAGAAATTGTAAGATTTAAAATTAGTTTGAAAACGCTTATAAGCAAAATATATATGTATATTCCTCAACAAGTATTCCTATACTGCATTCCATTTAGTCTACATATATAAATATCTATATCTATCCAATATTACAAAAAGCATATATAAATACCTGTTCACATATTATTTTAAAATAAATATAAATAAATATATAATAAAAAATTAAAAATCGTATTATTAGTTTTCTGCTTTCAGGCAACAATAAAGTTATGCATCCAGAGTATTTTCCCACAAGTGTTTTAAACAGTGTTATTAGGGAGTATTCTTAAAGCGTAACTCCCAGTCGACATCTTCTAGGCACCCATAATCCTGCCTATTGTCAGAAATATTTCCTCCATATATTTCGGCTTGTTTGTCTTCAGCTTATCAAAATCGTTTGTCAAGTCGAGGCCTTTGATATCGTTGCGCTCTCTTAAAGATACTTTAGCCAAGCATATTTACATGTAGCATTAAATCAATATAGGCCTTCGGCCTAAGGCAGCAATCGTTGACTTAAATGCTGCTCGTTACTCTTCCATTCGATATGGGAAATCGGCAAATCGGCAAATCGGCAAATGGCAATTGTCACACTTTGCCACACGTTACTCAACATCCAATCGAAACGTTAGCATTTGCCGGCAATCATCCAATTTGTCAAAATGGCTTATTAACGGATTTGGCCAAAGCCCAGAACGCAAAGCCAATGCCAATGCCAAAGCCAATGCCAATGCCAAAGCCAATGCCAATGCCAACTGGGAATGAGCTATAGAGCAGCCAGCTGCTACACTCCTTAAGCTTTCTTTAGCTTCGACTTTGCTTTGCTCTGCTCTGGCCGCTTATCAATTGTAGCCGCATGCAACGACATGCAAAGACTTTGGATAAATGACAGACGCCTCCTGGCTGGCCGCCTGTCAACATTCGTTCGCATTGCGATGCAGCTAGAATTTTGACTTGGATCTGGTTATTCAGGCCGGCTCGAGAGCCTGAGAGCCGAGACTGGGGCCGAGACTGGGACCGAGACTGGGGCCGAGACCTCTAGCTGTCATTAAAAAGCACTTTATGAATATGCGGCTATCCAAAAAGAAATTCGTTCACTTTTCGTTTGCATACGCAAGAATCAAATGTTTTCAAGGCAGCACAGCTAAGTGAGAGCATATGTAACATGATGAAATATGGGCTGGCATACCAGGAGTATAAAATAAAGGGCAAATAATATTTAAATGTATTTCTTTAAATTATTATTATTATTATTAATCATATATTACTTCAAATATAATACAGCTTCTGGCACGTGGCCTTTTTTATGCCACATCAGTTAAGGCTGTGAAATATATTTTACAGCAAAACATTAATAACTAGCAGCTAAGCTTGTCTGTTAGTCTGCATAATCGCAGCGAGCAAAAGCTATGAACTTTATGTTTTAAATACAGTGGTTCGAAGCTTATGTTAACCGGCACCTTAAAAAAAAAGTTTGTGATATATAGAATCTAAGCTAATGGGGATATCCAAAAAATTTAAGTGCAGTTTAATAATGTGATGCTTAAACTAATACAAAATGAAATAATTTATTTTTAAATATTTTTTTAGTATTTAATAATATCAGAAAACTAAAAATAGAAACCAAAACTGTTCTACTGATTATTTCAACAAAATAATAAAATAACCAAACCAAATAATCAAATTAAATATTAAGGCTGTGTTTTTTAAATAACAAAAATTAATCTTTGGTGTGACCACCTATTTGGTTAACTATGTATATATAAATATTTTTTTTGTTATATATAGAATTTGATTTATTTATTTCTTTTTTTAATAATTGCTTACTAAACGAAATTAATATTAATATAATAGTTTTATTTTCATTAAAAATTAAAAATAATTTTTCTTTTAATATTATAAATGCCTCAACGTTAGTTAATTCAATCAATAATGGGCAGATTTGCGTTCAGAGTTAGTCGCCTAGTGTCCTTCAGTGTTTATATAGCGTATGCTAAATTCGACTCTCTGTTCTATGCAATTCGAGCTCAACTTGAGTTTATTTTTTGTTCGTGGCTTAGCAGAGACGTCCACGCGCCTTTTGGGACCCATAAATTTCACATTTGCAGTTAGCCTGGGGAGCTGCCTGTCTGTTGCTCTGTTCTACAAATATTTGACTTAGTTTCGGTTCATCTGGCTGCCCGCTGATGCTGGTTCTGCTGCGTGTCTGCCACGCATGCGCCATCTTTACAACGTCTCCCGGGGAGGCAAGAGCAGCAGCAGCAGCAGCAGCAACTGCAGCAGCATCAGCAGGAGTTGCAACTGAAGCACCAAAAAGCGCCGTTAACTCTGCACGTTGCTTATCTGTGAATGTGTTAGCCTTGGCTGGCTGCTTTTACTTCTGGCTCAGTTCGGCTTCTGGTCTGGCCTCGAGACTGGAGTGCAACTGCTTGCGCTTAATGCCAAATGCGTGAGCTGTGGGCCGTGCCGCAGTTTGATAGCCACGGCTCTGGCAGCAGCGGAAATGCAATTAACACTTTGGGCCATAATTGCGTGCCAAATGCATTTGGCTTGCACCCGGCTTTGGCCGAAGCAAACGAGTTTCTGCTTTTGGCCAGAAAAACGAAGCCCCCTCAGGGAAATGCTACAGTTACTGCTCCTCCTTCTCCTGCTTCTCCTGCTGCTGCTGCTGCACTGCGCTTGTTTTGATTTGCTCTGCTCATTTGCAAGCAACGTGGTCATTAATCAGGCTGCCGCAATGCCGCCTCGCAGAAACTATTCGCCCATGAAAGTTACAAATTTCATGGCATATGTTCCCATAACATATCCAACAGCCATAACACGCTCAATGCCAAACTGATTTGCATTGCAAAAATGTCCTCCGGCCACATATCTTTTGTAATTTGTTTACGGACGGAATTCTCGATTTAATAGAAAGTCTCTGCCTCTGCTAGCGATTCTCTTATGCCATGGCTAGCTATGCCTCGCACTTTTTTATGCTCTCGTCTGGGGAGTATTTTAAGGAGCTATATATTTTGTTTAATGGTAAATAGAAAGAGCTTTAGCAGACAGATTAGAAAGAACTGCAACAGACATTATAAGCTAAAAATACAATGGGTTATTCTATGATACAAGTTATTCCGTCTGCTATATTCTCATATATACCATATTATTAAATATAGAAATCATTGGAGCTTATTAAAATTATGTGATTTTCCACCACATGATTTAAGAGTATTTATGTAAAAATAAATCAAATTGTGTAACATTAATAATTTAATTAGTAATAATTCGTAAAAGAATTAACGTAAGCATTAATTGAATATTATATGTAATATGTATATTTAAATAATATAAAATTACAAATTTACATTTGAATCATATTAAAAATGGGATTTTATAGACAGCCAAGATAAAAACAAATGAGAAAAAATATATAAAATTATAATATAAAGTATTTGTTTTGTTGCTCCAATTAATTTATAAATATATGAATAATATATATTAATATAATTATATGTCAATAATAAATATAAAATAAATATATGAATAATATATATTAATATAATATGTCAATAATAAAGATTTTAAAATATAATACAATATATACATAACCAAAATTAACTAGCAATTTTCATTTAAAATTGTGATAAATGGATTCTTAGTTATTTAAATCAATATATTTTTGTACATTTATCATTTAAATTATAAATATATTTTTCGGTATTGATATTTTTAATACAAATAATTTATACATTTATTTGCTATTTATTTATTTTCACATCTATTTTTTAATTCATAATTTCCGTGGAGTTTTATATATTTAATTTACTTTACTTATTTTAGCTAAATTAACAAAAATCCACTTCATACTCTCTTACAGCGCATCTCCTAGTCTATCATTTTAGGCCACTTCATGCAATTTTCCTCTTTCATTTCTCTAAGCATTTCGTTCTGATTAGTTGCACCGCCAAATGCGTTTTCCCTCAACACCCAACACACTCGCTCAGCTGGAGTATCGCCGTTAATCACTTAATCTCAATTAAGAGCAAATTGCTATTGTCCAGCATTTAAATGCAAATGCCAAATTAACGACTATTTGCCGAGTCTGGTAACGTCCTTCCACCTTTCATGCACCTCGACTCTCCCCTCGCGCCACTCACCGCTCGGCTGCCTCGTTTGGTCTGCGATCTCGTTTCAGACGCTTCAGTCCTGGCAAAGTGGAGCGACACATCAACAATTTGGTTTTTGTGTTGTCTGGGACAGTGTTTTTAATTTAACTGAAATTAATTGAGTAATTTGATGAGAAACGCAGAAAAACGCAGGCCATACAAATTTCACAGTGGGCCAAATGTGGCCAAAGCGGTGGCAGGAGGAGGCTGGCTGCTGACGAGCAGCTGAAGAGCGTGGAAATTGTGGCAGATGCAGATTGTCTGGCTGGCCATTGCTGCCGGGCAACAACAACAACAGCAAAAGCAGACAACAAATTTAATATAAAGCATATTAACTTTGATGGTTAATGGCCGCAGGGCGCAGCAGAGCAATGGAGATTTTGTAGTCATCTGTCAGGCGTTGGCGTAACATGGCCAATACCAGAGAGAGAGAGAGAGGGAGAGGGTGAGTGAGGGAGAGAAAGGGCGAGCGGGCAAGAAAGCGCGGTACAACATATGTTTGATGATGTGCGCGCTTTGAAGTCGAGAATCTGAAAGAGGCGACCCATCATGGCAGTCAGGCAGTTAGCCAAGTTGCAAAGTCCGCCAATACCAGTTTGAGTGCCCGGTAGTCGTGGGTACTGTTGCTGCTGGTTGCCGCTGCCGCATGACAA